GCAAAAGGTGGATGTTCCTGTGAGCTGTGCCTAGCAGAGGTGGGTGTCAGCGGCTGGTTTCAGGCTGGCACTTTGTGTCTGGTCTCTCACTCCTTTTCCTTGGCCACGGCAGGGAACTTTGGTATCCATCTCCCCACACTGCGATGCCTCGCTTTTTCTTTGGATGAGCTGCATTTCTAGCTATTCAGTAACAAAGACCCTTTTGCTGCTCCTGCAAAACCACATTAGGATCTCAGACATGCTGCTGTTAATGACTCCCTGGTGATGGTTTCAACCTCAATTTCGTTAACTGGAACACTTTTCAATAAGGTTGTAGTTATCTCACAACCTCTGTGAACACCTCTGTTGCTATCCTGTTCTGAAGATTAGGGCAGGATCAGCAGCACACACACCCCTGAGTTTTCACGTCCGTTTGTAGATCAGATTTGATCTCCTTGATTGAGACTCCAAAGATCGTAGTTACTGTGGCCCCTTAGCTAATACCTTGGGGGGTGGGGGGAAGGGAATGAAATCTCAGCTGCTTTCTGACATACAGAGGCCCTCCTCCACCCACCTGGCATGGTGGGGACCACAGCCGAGCCAGCTGTCCTTGGGCGTTGGAGGTAGTCAGAGCCACCAGCCTGCAGGTCCTCCCTTCCAGAGGAGCACTCTCACCATGCCTTCTTGCTGTGTTTTGGCAAATGGTAAGTTTTGGTATCTCCAGGGTTGGAAACCCATGGGTTGAAAAGTCATGACTTAAGTCCTACTTCTCTCCTTTCCCCTCAGAGACCAACTTTAATCTGATGAGGCTTTTCAAGGGCATGGATTGTTTTCTTCCTGTTGTCTGATCACTCAACCTTTTCTCTAAATTGAAAAAATTAAGACATTCATAAGGCTGATGCTGAAATTCTCCTACATCCCTAATCAGCATCCACAGCCGTATGAAAGCAAACCAGCCGCTCAAAGGTGAGAACAATATGCAAGAAGATCATAAGCTGGCAGAACTGCCGTCTGCCTGCCAGTCCTAAAATACTGACTTTAATTTCAACGCTGACTTCACTTGAGCTGATGCCGAGACAGTCGGTTTCGTGCAGCCTGCTCAGCAATCCTACGCAGTTAGGAATTTCTCCAGAGTTTTGGTGTTAGATTTAGACGCTTGACTACAGTTTTCCTTTGGCTGGTTGGACTTCGGGACGCGGATGATGGGCAGAAAAGCAAAGCGGTGAAGACAGCCAGGTTTAACCTTAGCCCACAGGAGCTGCATGCTCCAAGCAGAAGGGAGGGTGAGTCCTTTCATGCAGCTCCTTTTGCAAACAGGATTTTGAATAGCTGACAGCACTTGAACTCAAGTTCTTCACATTTAGGTCCAGTTTAAGGCCCAGGATGTCCTTTAGCACAAATCCTCCTGTCCTGTGACCCTTGGTGAATGTGGGGTAGGGATGTGAGCTGTGCTTGCCATGGGATGTGATGGGAAGGCTTCCTCCTTAGGCTCAGAGCCAATTTCCTAAAGTTGGTGCTGGGGATAACATTTTGGCAAAGTGCTGACTCCTTGGTTTTCCCCATCATTGTCCTTATGAAAACCACCCTTTCCTGAACTATTATCGCATTTCTTCTTGATTGGTCTCAAAAACAATGATCCATAGATTCGGCTCTTTCCATTTTAACCTGTTCTGATGTTTATGCTGGTGGAAATCAGGAATGATGCCAGCATGAGTTCAGGCAGCAGCTAATTAACATCAGAGATTTTCTTCTGTTAGCCCCACTTCCTCTCAGCATGTTTTTTAGTGCCCACCACTGTTTCTCTCCTGTTCCTCTTCGAGTTTACAGCGGCACCACTGAGACGTGGATCCTCCCCCTACAGAGTGGATTCGGTGAAGGCAGCAGAGGTAAGAAACCCACTTTTGGGTCTCCCCTTCACGTTCCTGCTGTCGGTGCCAGCAGGGGAGGCGGGAGCCCTCCCGGCAGAGGGGGAAAGAGCAAGAATCATTTGGCGTTGCGGTGGCCTGCCTTTGAACCTGTAACTTAGCCTTGAAAAGCCAGGGCTGGTAATTGCCTATCTTGATAATAACCCTGTGAATACTGTTATCTAGTCCACCCTTCCACTTTCCAGCCATTGTGCAGTGGCGCTGCCTCATTTCTTGTCTTGGCGATACTTGCTCATTTCCTAGGAGCCGAATCAAAATAGCCTCTGATCTCGCTGCCCATTTCCTTGCCTAGCTGGGCACGAAATCACAGGTCTGTATCATTGCCAGGAGCATCCAGCTTCCTTTCATGGGCTTATTCCAGCCACTGTTTTGCTAACTGAAAGCCTTCCAAATTCAGCATTGCAGACTACTTACTGGGTTTCCCAAAGCCACGTAAACTTTTCTGACTGCTTCCCTGCGGCCCTGGGACAGTTTCCATAAGCATACGTTCTACTGCCCTCTTCATCTCAAACCACTTTCCTTGCAGCTAACAGGAGCTACCAGGAGACCGGGCTTGAAACCAGGGAAGTAAAGTGATTTTACTGGGAAGTAAAATCCATAATTGTACAGATTTAAAAAATCATGGACAAAAGCCTGGTTTCTTGGCATAATTATAGCCTTTCTCCTTTTCCTTAACCCTTCCATGAATCAGCTGCTGCTCTCTTTCCTCTGGTGCCCACTGCCTTGCTCTCCAATGGGCTGTACGCATCCCACGAGCCTCCCAGCTGTCGCTCCTCAGCTCTGACATTTGCTGCTTCTCTTTCAGCCCCAGAGGGGAAGGATTCGTGTGGCCAAAACCTCGCTGCCGTCTTCCAGTTGTATTAGTTCATCTAATAAAAAGGATTACCTCTACCCGCCTCCCACGCCTCCCTTACATAAGAAGCGTGAATCACTGGGATCTCAAAAGCATGATATCTGTCCAAAGAGTCAATTTACAAAAGACCGTCGATAGCCCCGTTGTTTAATTGGAACCGCAGCCTCTGCCTTCAGCAGGCGCCCAGGCAGGAGGTGGGCTCAGTACAGGCACGGGCCCTCCAGATTTTAGATGGCCCTTCCCCATAGCATCCCTGCTCTGCACCCCTTGTGGCAACACTTCAGCTCGCTCCTGTCAGGTGGCTTCATGAGCTTTTACAGTGTCAGGGATTTATTTTTTTCAGCCTACATGAGCCAGATGTAGCAAAGTCCCCTGCAAAGAGGTATGACAGCTAGAGACAAGCTGTTTAAGTCTACTTTTCATTTTTCTCTTTTTCAAGAAAAATTATAGTGGCATCCAGCACGGGACCTGCTGGCTGGCGCATGGAGAGAAGCCCTTTTGGTTGCAGACCTTCAGCATGGGGACCTTCACGCTCGGAGAAGAGCTAACCTCCTGCCCTTCTCATTTCAGCTGGGGAATCGGAGAAGCACAACGCTCCCGCAGGTCCCAGCCACCCAGAAACCTGTGGCTGGGGATCACCATCAGACTCCCCATCAGAGCCATCTGTTTCATGTGTAGCAGCAATGGGAACATTTTTGGGTTTTTTGACATCGAGCTGTTGGAGCGAGTCCAGAGGAGGCCACGAAGCTAATCAGAGGGCTGGAGCACCTCTCCTGTGAGGACAGGTTGAGAGAGTTGGGGTTGTTCAGCCTGGAGAAAAGAAGGCTCTGGGGAGTTCTAATTGCGGCTTACCAGTACCTGAAGGGCCCACAGGAAAGATGGTGAGGGACTGTTTATCAGGGAGTGTAGTGACAGGACGAGGGGTAATGGGTTCAAGCTGAAGGAGGGTCGATTCAGATTAGATGTTAGAAAGAAATTCTTCACTGTGAGGGTGGTGAGGCACTGGAACAGGTTGCCCAGAGAGGTTGTGGATGCCCCATCCCTGGAAGTGTTCAAGGCCAGGGTGGATGAGGCTTTGGGCAACGTGGTCTAGTGGAGGGTGTCCCTGCCCACAGCAGGGGGGGTTGGAACTAGATGATCTTTGAGGTCCCTTCCAACCCAAACCATTCTATGATTCTGATTCCCTAGTGTGGCAGAACATGAATCAAAGCAAAGGCAGGTGAGCAGATCTGGAGCCAAGGAAAACTGGGAGGTGCTGAGTTACCATAAGTGCTTTGGAGAGGTCAATGCTACTTAAGTGTCAAGAGAAGGGAACGTATATATGTCTGGCATCTCTTGGGCTCCATACCATTTTGGCATAGTCCAGGCAGGAGAACGACTTAAGTGTCAAGAGAAGGGAACGTATATATGTCTGACATCTCTTGGGCTCCATCCCATTTTGGCATAGTCCAGGCAGGAGAACAGTAAATCCTCGAAATATATATTCTCTGGCTTAAATCAGAGTGAGGCTCTGTGTGTGATAAAAGGGAGAGAAAATCAAACCCGTTCTTCCTTGGCTTCAAAAATTTGGAATGCAAAGGAGCTCTATTCAGGTAGCATATAAGGGCAGGGTTTTCCTTATTCAGCCAAAGTGTGAGGCAGGGTAACACAGTTATGGCCAAACTAAATGCAGCTCTTTTCCCAGCCACACCGCTGTTTATCATCCCAGGCGTAGGCACCTTTTATGTGCCTACAACACCAATGGTTCACACTGTGCTGGGTGGCATCTTGCCTTAATTTTTCAGAAAAAGATTTAAGGTTAATGGCTGATGCCCAGAGCTCTTTGTTCTTCAAAATGCCTTTCTGTCCTTTCCCCTCTCTACACGAATTTCCTCCACTTGCTCAAAGGTTCCTGTTCCTCCTGCAGGCAAGACTCACCTGCTTGTGCTGCAGCTGCTGAAAAACCCCAGCACCCAAAAAATGTGGCAGTGGTCTTGATTTAGGCTGCAGGGCTGCTCTTGGACCAGCTGGACTTTGCTGAAATCAGGCTGAGACCCTGCAAGGGGGACTCGGGGCAAATGGCTCAGTGGGATGTGCCCCCCCCATCCCAAGTCCAGCACATCACGGTCTTCTGTTACAGCTCTGGGGTATTTAGAAGCCTGAACGTTCCCAAAATTGGATGAAGACCCAAATTTCTAATTATTTTTGATTGCCTAACCGCTCGGTTGACCCCAGGGAGGACCCCCCCACGTACTCAGCCTGACTCCAGGTGGGTGAGTGTGAAGCATCAACCAGCTTTTCAGAGCTGCCATGCCTCATGAAGCATCTCGGTGCTTTGACAGTCCTGGCCACGAGATACTTTGGATTATCGACCCTGGTGCACGCCAGGTTTCTTAAGTGCAAAGAGCACCTGCAGATTTTGACTCTCAAAGGTGTGAGTACTGCAGAGGGAAGGAGGGAAGCGGTCCTGCACCAGGCAGATGCAATGCACTTGGTAGGGAGATGGAGCAGCCTTCCTCTTAGTTGGGACATCTGCAGTAGCAGGTCAAACATCTTCCCAACTTTCTTCATCCATGCTTTTGCCCAGGTCTGCCAAAACACGGTCCTAGGGGACAGTATGGCCAGTGCAGCTGTCCTCACGCACCCCAGGCACCCCCCCCCTCGAGGACAGTGGTTTATGCTGGAGCTGCCCCAGGGCTGGGAATTTGAGCCCGGGGCTGGGAGCTACCCTCTGTCCCCAGCTGTCGCTGCAAGGAAAAGGGGGGCAAACACTGTCCCCAGCCCCAGGCAGGTCCCACAGCTGAGGGAGGGTGCCACCAAGCCACCCCGCGTGGGCATGGACCGAAGCATTATGCTGCAATGTAAATTTGGGAGAATTTACCAGTAATCTCCATGCAGGGCCTCCATCATGCTGTGGCAGGGGCTGGGGTGCTCAGGCCCCCCACATGGTCCCTCCACCATTGCTGGTGCTCCCTGCATCCCTTGCGGGCAGCCCCGCAGGCTGACCCCCTCTATTCCCTCGGCCACCCAAACTCAGTTTCACGCCTCACTCACATCGTCGTTGCTGTCACTGACACATGAGATCAAACCCGTGGCATTTTGCTAAAATCCATAGGAAATCATTCCACAGCCTTTCCTTATGTTTAGCTTAGCAGACTTTCAGTACATTCACTCCCTTCTTCCTTTTTTTTTTTTAAAAAAAAAACAAAAACAAGCAGCATGCTAAGAAATGCAAACCCGCTGGGATGTTTTCAGCGTTGGCCGGAGCTGCCG